CGTTTGTAAGTGACTGACACACTACAATGTAGTTATTGGATTTAAATTCAAGTTGCTCTGGTAACCGATCAGTGACATGCTAAATAGTTTATTTATTATTATTACCTGCTCCTGATATGAGTTTATGAAAGTTGAGGAAACAATATCAGAAGGTTATAAATCCCAAAATAGTCCTTATATAGTCCGTACATTATCATGGTTCTTTAATATCTTTTAACTATATTACATTTGTATATGATAAAGCAACTATCTAGAAGTATTTTATAGAAAAAATGAGCAAAGTATAACCTTATTTGTACATGCAGCTAAAGATGACAGATGAAAAGGTTCGTTTTTTCAAAATTTAAGAAAAAAATCAATATCTCAAAAATGGTGACTTTTATATAGGTAACTTTTGGTTTTTTGGGAGGTCAGACCAAAGCCTACCTTCTACTTAAGAATTTCGTGGTACTAATTGGACACCCTATATATGAGGTGTTTGCAGTGCCAGTGACACTAGCTATATTAAATCTTTATAAAATCAAAATGGCAGATTTTAAATACAAACTTAAACTTTGAAATTTCTATCTCACGAGCTACAGCTTAAACCACTTGATGTATTTTGACATATAATGTCTTTAGATTGATGTTGACCCAATTAAATCTTCATTGTTTTTAGTTACTACAGCCGGGCTGCTTGCATTTTTTTAAAATTGCGTCAAGTAGTTTGAGTCTTCACTTTCTACTCAACGCCGCCATCAGTTTATAAAGCGCAATATAAATCCTCTGAAAAAAAGTCATTTACGAACATGTACAACAGAGAAATTAAACGGATTAAGTAAGTCGAACAGGCCCATACAGTTAGTCCTCAGACATTCTTTCCCTGCCCTGCCGGTAGTTATTGTTCATTTGACAACGTTGTTATTTTCCACATCTGCGCGGCATTTCAGCGAGTTGTTGATTTTGTGTGTGGTTCGTGTGTATGTTCGATTCTATGGGCGGTGAGCTTAAGCAGGAGTACGTCGATCGCAAACATTTCTCTTTCATTATAGGTCTCAAAGGCAAATGTACGGGGAAATCTAGAATGTGTGAAATATGGCTAATAGGTACATAGAAACGGAAGCGTATTAATATATTATTATAAAAAAATCGTATTCCTTCCCCACCCTCTACAGCCCTAAACCCTAAAGATTTTAAAGTTCAAATCAAGAAAATTCTCATTAATAACTCATTTTACACGTTTGAAGAGTTTTTAAGACATAAATTTTAACTAAAAATCTTTATCTTTATGAGTGCTGGTGTACTTGTTTGTAATTTTTTATGATCATTAGCACTCCCTTTGTTTTAATTCTAATGCAATTCTCATTTGATCTACTGACGTATGTAAACATATTTTATGTATTGTGTCAATTTCAAACCTCTATAAAAAACTTTCCGAAAATAATCAACAGCCTCTGACATCAAAAAACGAAGTTTGAGCTTTTTTTCCTTCGCTTTTCGACTCCCACTCAGCTGCCACCGGACCGATTTTTTATCCTTCGGCATAGTAGAAACCTTGTGTGAACATTTTATCAAAATCCGAGCGGTACTTCTCAAGTTATAGAGGAGTCAAGGATTAGCGGACAGTCAACCAGACGGAGCGTCAGAAACGAGTGACATAAATCAAATTCAAGCGAATAACCAAATGAAAATGGTATCCATTTTGGATTGGTATTGACCGATCCATTCAAACCAATGAGGTTATCAGTTTGGTTATAAGATCCGTGACGTCATCAATCAGCTGTTATATGTCATAGTTATCTCCGTAAAATTGAGGAATTTAGCCGACTCTGGAGTAGTTTTATATTTCTGGTTATTATTTGAAATGTGGCAAGTTAGAATTTTGGCGGATATTGGATATTTTTGTTGTACTTCAGCTTCATTTTTGGGAAACTTGATACAGGCTGACTTCAGTTATAGCATAGAGAACCTTATTAGTTATACTCATTACTGTTGTTGGGACACTTTAAGTCTAGTTCCTATGCTTACAAAGTAACCTATGTAGCCATACACCACAAGAATATTAAAATATGGCCATATAAACTCACTGGATAGCGTCCACATGTATACGGTTTTGCTAATACCTTTTTTCATCGCTTTTTCCTATCATTTGTGCTAAATCAATAAATGTTTTATTTGACATGCGGACAAGTTTAGATAATTGAAAGTTATCATAGCTTCAGAGCCATGGTTCCACCATTAAAATTTTGGGCGTCATATCTTTTGTTTTCACTACAAACTTGTTTAAAAATGAGAGATTTCTCAAGCGATTTAACACCTGAACAATATCTTCTGAAAAAAAACATTTTTCCATTAATATTATGAAAGGTTTCTTTTTGAAACTTTCCATATCACCGTTGTAGACGAAAAAGCACCGATTATTAAGTGACAATAAAAATAGTCAGAAATTATATACCCGCTTTTCTAAAATGAACAACTTGAAACAAAACCGCGGTTAAAACGAACGCGTTCAAGCGATTCGAGTAACTGACGTCATCAACTCATATGTCATCTTAAACTATATTATAACTGCGGTACATATCACAGAAATTTTGGTTATTCGCTTGGATTTGATTAATGTTTTTCGTGAAAAACATAATATCCCATTGTTGAAATGTTTCGCGATTACATTTCCCCGCCCAGTGCCATACGATGTAAAAATGTACTCGTTTGTATCATAAGTGTATCGCTTTCTGTGACATATTCGCTGTATAATTGCTAACGGAATATTAGAACGTTCTGGTACACATCGGGCTGTTCGTAAAAATTTCCTAGCATGATTATTAACCATCTTTCAAAGCAGCACGTTCTACCATTATATGCGATATAATATGGATGTATTTCCCACTACAGGAACCCTCATTATACACAGGTTGGAGCGCCAATAGTTGTTAATAGTTTAAATATAAAAATTGTAGTTTCATTATTATTTCATAATTATTCATTGCGACACTGGAAAAATAAATGCAAGTTCCAACTACCTCAATTGGAGCCCCGTAGGGACTCTTAATTCAGTGTAAATGAGGAGGGTAGTCTCGAATATGCAACAACAACGTAATAGAAGTTCAGGCCAGAAAGTTTGATTTTTGTTCATGTCGAGTTTTCGATAATGTTATCTTCAATAAGTAAATTAATTGAATTAGTTTTATCATATTTCACTCCTGTTATATAAAAATATAGGTGTAATAAAATACGGGGAGGTTTTCCCCCTAAAAAATATTCGGCTATCCAAAACAATAGTTTTATTTGTCGGGATCTACTTTACAGAATGTTTGTCTTATGTGTAGCGTACGCGAATGCCTTCTTCGACCGACTCCGCGTGTCAAGTGTTATTCCCCATCGTGTTCCTGTTCCGACACACCTAGAGATAGTCAGGATGCCCACTGCCATAAAATCTCTCGAGAGCGATTTACGCGGCGTGGACGTGCGTTTTTAATAAAAAAAATAATTAAGAATATACAAAAAAATATTTGCAAATGCCCTTACATGAGTTGTGTTATGTTTTGTCATCATTGGTAATCTAACTTACAAATACGCGAATTTCATTCATTATAGTCCTTTAACAGCTTTGCTAGGTGATGTGTGGTTAATAATTAGATTAGCCTTTACTAGAATGTTCATTTTCCGTATAGCGGTTATTGTGCAGTTATTCCGTTGTTTGTTAGTGTAGCTGAAAAAGTATTTCGTTATGAATAACTGTCTGTATTGAAATCCTCGAATTGAACCGAAATATTATAGCTACATGGCTCAACCTTAATTTGGAATTGTCAGATTATAGAATATTAATCAGCTATTTTTAAATGTACCTATACATTGTAGTTCAACTAGATATGCCAAAAGTGTGAGTAATTTGTGTGGGTAAACAGAAAAGGTACTGAATGTACAAATATACTTGCTTCTACAAGTTTTTTGTTTTGTCTGTTCCTATAATCTTCCAACCTTAGTTGCTATCCCTTCTCAAGGATTGTAGTATTCCATATTTGGAATGCTGTAGCTCCTAAATACACGTTTACTCCTCCAACTTTATTTCTTAAGATATCACCTTTTATGAAATCCCTAGAACAAATCCTTGGATATTTTGGTAGTAACACCAGCATGTTAAAGAGCAGCAGAAATACATGTCTCTGTTCCCCCTCGTTTAACAATTACCCACCACAGAAAAGAAGCCAATTCAATGGATCTTCACACATAACTAAATAACAGTAACAATTTCCAACAGACTGACTAAGTATTTACAAGAAATAAGCAAAAATAGTGGAACTAATTAACAACTAAACAGCAATCCCGTTTACGATTGTCCTCCAAGCAATGGGAAGCGAGGAAGTGACGTCATGCGAAGAATACCTATCAGTCGCTTGTTTTTACCATTGGTTCTTTTGGCAACATTGTGAAATTAGTCATACGCATTTGTTACATCCCATTCTTCTAAAATTTGCCTCCGTGGTTTGGGCTTTCTCGTTTTGAAACCGGATTGTTTATCGCCCTTTGGTCATTGAAAATTTTGCTAATAATGGATTCATGGATATAACAAATGTTAAAGTTTTCCACTCTTAACCTGTTTCGTATTGATCAATATTTTAATTTTTTGCCCAGTTAGTGATCAATGCTGATTACTAATTAATGTTCTGTTCTTTTCTTTATTTATTATATGTCTTCGAAAGGGGATACCACATACTAGCGTTCTCAGTAATTTTTTTAATGATATTGCATTGGGTTTGAATTGTCATACAATATGCTTGGTAGTTTGCCCTGTGGAAGAATATAAACAGTTCAGACATGAACACAGAACAACCTTTCTTCGAGAGCTTGTGCTTTGCGTGTGCGTGCAGCAGTGTATATTTTGATAAAGTGGGGATTGGGAATCAAGTCATACGCTGAGTTTCACCATTTCCACTTTATGATGTTTGTGTTTTGTCATATTAATTAATACTGACTTCATACTTTATGTAATGTATAATTTTTGTCATTTTCTGTCCTGATAGAAACTGAAAAAATGGAGTATAAGGAGCACCCAAACAACGCAATGTTGATGTGGGGATACTCCCCAGTAATGGACAGGGTGTTCCTGTCATTGAAGCCAGGGGGCGAGAAGTCCCTGGCTAAAAACAATATATCCGAAATGGTAAGTTATCCTTGTTTCTTTTGGGGGGGGGGTCGATTGTACCTTTAAAACGTCTTTCAACTTTTTTCTATAAATGTGAATTTACAAAAGGGCTTACAACTGATTTTGAGCGACTATAAGAAATTCTCGTACAATATTTTAGGGATGCACCAGGCACTACTTTATGCTAACAATTGAGTACCGAATACTGGGCCAGGTTCCAATACCGGCAGGGTTTTTACGTAAAAAAACTATATAATGTGAAAAAAACGAAAAAATGTCAACTTGCTGACTAGATAGCAAATAGTTCATTCCGTTGTTAGCTGTAGGCATCACCATAACGTCATCCATTGAGGAATGACTCAACTATCGGGTAGCTTAAGATGCTGCAGCTCACAGTTCGGCAACATCGATAACCCTTGCACAACATATCCTATATCCTTGTATCAAGTTTCAAAAATATTCCGTTTTTTTTCTTTTTTAATTATTGTTAGCATGTATACTTGGGCTTGAGATTCGGGCAATTTATTTTTTACTATGTATAGTGAATATAATTGTAATATACAGGTAAGTATAAAATATTTCTCAGAGATTTCCTAAAATTCATTGATTATTGACGTTGAAAGATTGAATTTGAATTCTATTTAGTTGTAACTATTCAACAAGGGAAACATAAAAAGTACATAGGCACAGCAGCTTTATTGATGTAGTTTCTTAAACTGTAGTTGTATTTTTCACTTATCTCTCTTTATTGTGGGTATGATTATCAAAACCACGTAGTGATTTAATAAGTATCAAGCCTTCAATGTACTTGATTTGACTATATGCAATTTATTTGATTCAAGTGATATTCAGGATCACTAAATGTGATAGTATTTCATTATTGAATTTCCCAGAATTAATGCATCAATACCACAGATGAGCAGAAAAAGGTTTGCAGGACATTTTGTCATATCAAATATGGATTTCTAAACACTAAACACTAATTGATAAGTATCAAATTATTAACTAAACCTGTGGCGTTTTGGGTTGTATCATATTTTATTCAATAATGAACTTTTCTGAACACTGAGTAATTCTTTTGAAGCGAGTAGGTAGAATGATATTGAATAGATGAATTAGGCCAATATATAAAAAAATCTGTGTTTAACTATTTAGGAAGTTTTTAATGTTTTAATCAAATAGTTCAAACTAAATTTTCAACAGTAAACCCTGTCAATCCTGCTAATTAGTATTTATTTATGAATGAATTGAGTAAAATTGGCACACAGTTGGTCACTGGAACTCCTCTAAATTTTACTAGTAATACAGCTTTCATCCAACCGGCCACAGCTAACCATGGACAGCAATTTGTGCTTTTTGGCATCTCATTAGTGTGATGTAGGTTTGTTCTCAGGTGGGACACTGAACGAAAGCTGAGCAACTATTCTCTATTCGAGGTTCGAGGACAGCACAAAGTGCCATCTTTTGCCACTCTTATAGTGGTTGATTCTGGTAAAAGGTGTCACTTTGTGCTGTGTTATTTCTATAGACCCTCTATGTTTGAATTTTTGGGCCGACTTGCAGCACTTGCTGAATCAAAGATATTTAGTATGCTCAAAAACTTATACATTTAATTAACATTTTTTCAAACTTCTTAGTTAATGGTAAGAGCAATATTGTTTGCAACACATTTTTCATAGTTTAATTGATTCATTATTTTAGTAATATATTAGCCGTTGATTTTCAAAAATTGTTAGAGGCTACATAATTGGACAGATTTATACCAACTCATGGAAATCACAAATTCAGTCTACTTGATTCCATTTTTAAATAATATATTCCATATTATCACAGCTGTATTTTTCAGTTTAAGGTTCTTTATGATATATGTCCAGATTAATTCCATCGTCAGTTGACTCCAAGGGCCAGAAAATACATAGTGGAATGCTACATAGTATCGTTAATATCACATACTGCAGGCACTATTGAGCTTATTTTGATTACATTTTGCACAATGACAAAGTAACCCTTGAGTTCCAAAAAACTTGTCGGAAAAATAAAAGATTCAGGACCGAACTTTGTACTTAAAGTTGTTTGCATTATATCAAAATTTTGGTTATTTGGTTATTTTTTTTTTTGTTATCCAAACTCTAAATACTTTACTGTTTCCCTTTAACGCAGAACTCAGGTTGTACAAGATCAGTTCGTAGAATTTAATCATTAAAATATATACAAAATCAGTAAATACGGTGCATTACCATTATTTTTACTTTTTGTTTGTATCATTTAAATTCCTTTTTTTGTTCTGCAAAATAATCCTCAATTCAGAGTATTGAGTTCCACTTAATACAATACAAACAAATAAAATAAAAAACTGAATATTAGGTACGCATCGCAGTTGATGAAGGCCTGAAAGAATATTGTTAACCTAAATGTTAACAATTTCGCTGAACACGAATGAGTTCCAATCTATATTCCATTCAAGTCTCTCCCTACTCCATACCAATCTTTGCCGACGATGCTGTGGGGTCAGAGCTAATGAAAACAGTTCAAAAGACCTTATTCGGTGATAAACTGTCCTCATTGTTATTTTCCTTCCGACAGCGTCAAACCGCTGGTTCGCAACTGCCCTTGTTGTGGAAAATCGATCTATAAGTGCTAGTTGCCTCAAATAACTATCCTGTCGCTCTGTAGTCTGTCTTGACGTCCAGTACTTCTAACTCGTCGATTTCGGCCTTCTTGGACCCACGCTCGACAACATCTCATTACAGTAGCTTCGTTTCGATTCACCCGATTAGCGATTTCGCTAACAGAAAATCCGGCTTCACATAACCCAATTATCCGACCCCTCTCAAAATCGGAAAGTTGAGTGAAATTAGCGCGTCTGCGAACTCTAGGCATGATGATGCAATGAAACAAATGGAACCAACACAGAAAAATCATTGAATATTAAGTAAACATGCGAATATTGTTCGCATCCTTATATGAGAAAAAAAGTACGGCTCGGAATGCGTATACTTCCATGATAGTAAATATGTTTACAAGTTTTTATCAAAATTCGATAAATAATTCTGGGTGTTGCATTTTGTATGTCACTTGGTATAAAATGAGTTCCGTGAATAATTGCTTTTCGCAGTTGCATATTTTTTGTCTTATTTTCAGGCTTCCATAAACATAGTTTTGTGAGATATTTTCTCCACAGTTTCATTTTAGACAAATGGTACATTTTAATAATCTCAAGTAATGTACGGGGAAGGTCCATATTTTACCCTTTGCCTCAGGGCACTCAAAACTCTGTATCCGGCCCAGGCCTTGGCTATAAATGGCCACAAGTGTGCCATCTCTGGAACAGAGGTTACATCACACGAACCAAATAGCTCAAGTGTGATGGCGTTTCAGGTAATATGTATAGCTTCTATGAGCACAGCTAGTTCCATGTTGACATCTTGTAGGAAAACGTACATAATGTCACAAAAAAGTCACTTTTAAGGTACGTAATACCCCTTCCGCGGGGACCACGTCGCAGGTATAGACACCCGACTATAGTTTAAAGAGTAAATTTACGGGGACATAATAATAATAATAAAAGCGTTAAAATTACATAGAATACAATATAGGGGAAAACAACAAATTACACTTACTGCAAAATGAACCAGCAAACAGTCTAGGACTGATCAAGGTACTGGCCCAGGAACAAAACAAAACGATAGCACATTTTTATAGCCGTCGACGGATAATACAATTCTAACCAGTTCATTCCATAATGGCAAAAAAGAGAAACAAATTAAAGCATAATATGTTTCTGTAATCAAACTTTAAATTAAAACTCATACCCAGATGAGAAGGACAACACAGGAGAGAATCAACTATTGTTGCTCCAAAAGAAATTTCTTAAAATTTCTTGCATGGACTTTAAAGTCTGTGGGAACGTGGTTGTACAAGCGATACACAGAGCGTGAAAATGATCTACTGAACATTGCAGTACGGTGAGGTGGTTGAGAAATGAGACCTGAACCGGACAATGACATTGTGAACATCACTACAGCATGTAATTTTAAAAGTACGGCGGAGTTCTATATAAAATAATCTTATGAAAAATTACTGCACAGTGCAGGTTTGTCCTTGCCTGCATGTTTAACCAGCCTGCTTCAGATAACTTATAGGAAACAGGTTCAAATTTTCTAACTCCAAAAATAAACCTGAGACAAGATTCTGGAACACGCTGTATCCGGTCAGTATCGTTTTTTGTTAAGCAAGGTCCATACACTGAGTCACAGTAATTGAGACAAAACAAGCGTAGCATACGGAGAGATTCAAAATTGGCTGACGGGCGCGAGTTCAATGTGTACGAGGGAGACACGCGATAAGTGTGTATAAGCACAATGTTAGGAAGAGACGGAAGCCGGCTAGATAGCGATGCTCATCGCCACGTTGCCTAGTAACACTGGCGTAAAAGCCATGCATCTGCCGCTTTGGCAATATTACAGCAGTTCCTTGAATTAACCCAGATGTCCCAATGGCCTATATGTAGTACATCTCAAACTTGTCAATTCTTGTCAAAAGGGTCTGTAAAAATCTATTAGTTCATTCGTTTCGTTTAATATAACGTTGTTCGGCTTAGGGTACGGTGGTTAGTTATCGTTTTCTGACCGACTATTAGTGTACTTTGAAGTCCAAGTACTACATTTCGACTAAATGGCTGAATACGGCATCAGGTTTGCAAGGTACGCTGTATTTTGATGATTTGCATTGAAGTGGGTTCCATATAATGGAGTAAATTCCTATATATAAAGTCGACAGATGGAATATATGCTCGAGGCAATTAATAATATTCCGTAGCTTTTTCACAATTTATAAAAAAACCTATCTGTCCTATATAAAGTACATTGGGCAAATATACTACTGCTACTTTTTCTAAATTACCCTCAGTTTTTAGTGGTAAATGCATCTATAAAATAATTGTTTATAAATATATTTGTTACAGAGGGTTTTCTTTATATGAAGCCCTGCCTATGATCGAATATGACAAAGTGTAAGCCGATACCGTCACACTGTTTTCACCTAACAATGCATCCGAAAATCTGGCAGATGAAAATTCGGCGAAGAAGACAATGTATATATAAATAACTTGCCGCCGTCTCAAATGCAGAGTAAATGATAAAGACGATATACCCTTGAGTCAATTGACAGAAGCAATCAAATGAACATTCAAGCAGGCAAAGAAGGAGGAACGTTATAATTATGTGAAAAAGCATTTAGAATGTTAGTGCTGCTTTTGACAATCCTTATCACGTTATTTGGTTGGTGTTTGGGTAGTTTTAGGCCGTCGTAAAATATTTTTACTTGACGTTTCGCCAACACGAGCGGTTGACATCTTCTCCAGGTAGAGCAGCCACATGTGGTCGAATTATATAATAGGAACATGGGGGGGTTGATCGTTCTGACCACAATATAAACCTCTATCGTAGCGCCATAAGAGGAAAAAAGTGGTATTTTCCTCTTATAACTCACTGCATAGATATGGCAGTGCAGAATTCCTGTCAAATTTATAAAAAATGAGGTGGAACAATGGACCACTTTTAGAAGAGCCATTGAAAATTTTATGCTGGTTAAAAATAAAAAAGCAGATTAGCTCTCCACAGGAGCGTTTGGTGTGGACGTGCTTCGCGCCATCCAAACTACGTAAGAAAATTCAAACCGTCAGACAAGTACGATTCATGATTCATGCCCCCGAATCTCGGATAGGGAATCCCGAGTTGGATCGTCTGGGGTGGATCCGGCTATTCATGTTGGGTCCGAGATTTCACATCAGAGCTCATCTTCATACATGAGGTACATCGAAAATTTGCGCTAGAAGCCATTTCGAAGGTGTGGTAACTTAAAAAGTCCTTATATATTTTTTGTTTTCGAAAACTGTGATGGTGCCACGCAGTAGGGTTACTAAAATGTGAACTGCTTGAATCCGAGACACTGTCCGAACCCAGTTCCCATACAATAGAATTTCAAATGAAAAGGGATCTCGTTAAAATATATCGTACACCACTTGTTTTATTACATATCAACATTAACGCATACTCATCGAAGAACCCTTTGTTCAAGCAGCCTTAAATGAAAATATGAAATACAGCGTTTGTTGTGAAGTCGTTAACAAGAGTGGTTGGCATAGCGGTGCACAACTACTTGTTTGGAAAAAGAAGCTCTGGACTATCATGAAGGTGGAAACCTTGTCTTGGAATGTACACCACGATTGTGTCTGTCAAGAAGAAAACCAATGCTGCAATCTTGCTCTCAGATTCTGGAATATTTTTTTTTGTTTTACCCCTCTTCAATAAATATACAGATTTCATTATTGTTTTGTCCTCTCATTGCTCGTTAATCGACTGCCTACCTGATTGTACGCACAAAAATCAATATATGCGGAATATATATCTATCTATATTATATATCATATCTATATATATATATATATATCTATATATATAACTTTGGCAGACGTGGTCATTGTGTCATAGACCAGTTAGGTGAAAAATTAAAGCTTCCGCCTTTTGTTGGGTACTTCGACAAGATTTAAGCAAAGAGGACTCTTTATACTTTTTTTTAATTCTCTCTAGCTTTCAATGGACTTTGCCATCATCATCAGGAGCTGCAATTACAATGATAACAGTAGCAACAAAGGTGTAAAATGAATTTAAATTGACTCAACTTACAGTAGTATGTGAGGATGTTGCTAGTTGTTGTTTACGTATAGGATGAGGGAAACGTCCAGTAACATGGTGAGAGCTGGATAGATTGTACAATAGTCAAACTTATATAAAATATGACAAGAACAAGTTAAAAACAGATTAAAAATTATTTAAAAATTTTTTGAGCATTACATCGTGAAGCCACCTGATGATTGCACAAATTAGTGGTCATGGAATGATGATTGATGAGTCTCATCATCTGAAGTGATTTGGCAACGTTTTGGCACACGCCCACAATTCGTTCCATCTTTCAATACTGACTTTGACATCCTTCGGCCTTCTGTCAAAGGGTTTCATGTCACTCATCAATTCATCATTCCATGACCACCAATTTGTGCAATCATCAGGTGGCTTCACGATGTAATGCTCAAAAAATTTTTAAATAATTTTTAATCTGTTTTTAACTTGTTCTTGTCATATTTTATATAAGTTTGACTACTGTACAATCTATCCAGCTCTCACCATGTTACTGGACGTTTCCCTCATCCTATACGTAAACAACAATTAGCAACATCCTCACATACTACTGTAAGTTGAGTCAATTTAAATTCATTTTACACCTTTGTTGCTACTGTTATCATTGTAATTGCAGCTCCTGATGATGATGGCAAAGTCCATTGAAAGCTAGAGAGAATTAAAAAAAAGTATAAAGAGTCCTCTTTGCTTAAATCTTGTCGAAGTACCCAACAAAAGGCGGAAGCTTTAATTTTTCACCTATATGTATATATATATATATATATATATCACATTTAATTAGATATATTTTGTGACATCAGCTACACTTTAAATATTTCTTCAAGTACATACAAACAAAAAATGCGTCCATTTTTTATCATAATCTTTTATTGAAACTTAGAAATTATGTATGAAAAATAATATCAGACAAATGTCCTATAAACCCTATTTTTCAAGAATCCCCATAAAAAAGTCAGGAGCCGTTAAATCCACTGAACTTGAATAATATAGAAAAAGCAATAACCGAAGCACTTTTGTGAAAAAACTGTATTTCTCTATTGTAGGACACGAGGTAAACTATTTAGTACAGAACCTGCTGCCCACACCTCTAAATCGCATTTTCATGGCAATCATGTGTCGATTGCACATTTTTGCGCTAGTATTTAAGAATTGGTAAAACCAAATCAAGGTAGATATATTACTATCCATGATTTGGAAACATCGCAACTAGATGCAGAAATTATGATAGTGATGGTGGTATAGTGATGGGAATATTTTTCTGAAATAAATTAAATGACTACTTAACAATGTTCTATTTTCATCATTAAAATAATGCAAAATTGCATTGTTGCGATGAACAGAGTCACAGTAATATACAGTTTATGTTATATTAATTTGATCTTAAGCATTCTTCTGTGTAAACAACTTTTTGGACTTCTATAAAATAGCAAGCAGAGGGTTCCTTGAAGAAAAAATGAAATTTTCGTACAAGTCACATCCTAATCTTTCATGTTAAAATAAGAAATAAAATATTTGCGATATACGCTAAAGTATAATAATTAGTTCAGCCCTATTTTGAGCTACTCAATCAGCATTTGTTGGTGAGCCCTATACTTTGAGTCCCGACCCCGATTTTCCTTCCGTGCCTGTGACTATACTAAATACATTTCTGGGAATGTTTTCAGATGCTACAACAACATAAAATATAACTACTACTTACCTATAATTTTACCAAAACACCATTGCTTCTTTCAGTTATTCCTTTTCGCGTACATTTGTTTGAAAAAAATAGTGAAAATGCGAAATGGCAGTACTAACATATTGACAGGCAGTCCTTCAATGGTGACAGTGGTGACACTGGTGATTGACTAACTAATACTACTAACTAAAAACTAAATATTTAGTTCTATGATTTTGCGACTCTGTGGAATCCAATGCTTCGCTGCCAGGCTGCACGTCTGAAATGCGTTACTTTGATTCACACAAGTTATATGACTTGCATTCATATGGAGTAATTATTGCCCGGCCGAGTAATTTAATACTCAGCGAAACCCGGTACTTGATAAAATGGGCCGAGTACCGGATACAAACCAAGTACTTAGTGCATCCCTACAGTTTTCAAACCATTACCATTACGCTTTTTCAGCCATTGAATTCCAATGTCATTATATCCATAATATACTGGCAGCTACGTGTATTGGTTTAGATTGAGTAATGTGAACTACCAAACTACGTCTCATTTTTCATAGTTAAAAAGAAAACCATAAACGCTCATACATTCATGCAACGTATCCGAATCCTTTCCGATATCGTGGAATTTGATTTTTGGTTTTTCTAGGGCTATCTCGTACTCTCTGGGAGAGCAGTCGTCCGAGTAGGTGACCAAATCAGATTGCTCGTCCCAGAAAACCAATTTGTGGTGCCGCAAGGTAAGATTTACATTAAACTCAGCTATGGAATTGATAAGCCAAATTTGTTTAGAAGGTTTCAGACAAAAATAAAACACAGCCTGCAAACTTTGGTGAATATTTGTGTAAGACATGATACCCATTTATTTTTTTCAGGTTTGCCGTACAGTATTACGAATAGCAGCGCTGAAAACTTCAAGCTGCTGCGGTGTATTCCTAGAGGCAGGGACATTTAAGTGACCGTGGAAAAAAGAGGTATCCTTTGGTGTGTGGACCACACCTATTAATATGTCGGTGACCTATCGATCATGCCAAATAGGCGCATCCTTGACGTGTGGGTAATTTTGGCAGGTAGTTGGGTGGTGATGCAAGGGTTCAACGGATACATGGTCCTACTGATGAAATGTACGGTTATAGAAAATTTTTAGCAGACGGCGTGAGTTTCGAACCTGAAACTTCTTGCACGAAAAGCGAAATACTCTACCTATTACAAGCTATCACTGGTTGTTATTGATTGTTCAGTGTTCGGTGAAGGCTCTTTTTATCAATTTTGGCGGATTACGGTAAAACTACAGATAACACTTACATATACAATCTGCTTCTCTATGCAGACTTCTTATGTAAGCTCATAGACATAAAATTTTTAATTGTTTCACTTCGAAAATTTTGTTACGTAAAAGTATCATACTACTAAGCTTGTTACTGTCGTGGGAGCGTGATTTAAGCTTTCATTTTGTTGATCTTCTATACAAAACATTGCAATGGCTGGAAATACATTGTCCACAAGTTGTGCTAAAATTGGCGCAGAAAGGTAATGAAGAAATGCTACGAGTCACGTCATATGTGCTCGACGGAGTAGCATAATTGAAAATCAGTTCGCGCAATGTGCAATTTCCCTCACGTAGGAAATTTGAGATAGTTCAGCCAGTCGACTCGAATCATTTATCTCGTATTATAATGATACGTAATAACCAAAAATACCTATATAATTCGCTCAAAACTCTAAAACTCATTTCGACCGAGGTGACGTATAAATCGGAAAACCTTGAGTCATTACAGAAGAAAAAATACTTTTTTCTACGCAACCGACACATTTTACTCAGACTCAGACCCCTTATGGACAAAAATGGGTAGTAAAATTTGAGGAAAAATCCGTATAAAAAACTTCCTGTCTACGTTTTATTGATTGACAGGTGAAGTAATTTTATCTCATCATAGCATTTCAGAAATATTCATGTTATGTCCTTATTCAGTTTCATCAGTGACGTCGAAATTAACAATAGCCTGTATCTTAGCAATGGGACATTTAGGCCCGATATTACTAACAGGAGATCCAAATTCTTGATCCGTATCATAATGGACCAATGAATCCTTCTAGTAATGGATCTGATGAATATAGTCGATTTTTTCAAAAATGTTTCTCAAACTAGCGAAGAAGTATACGATTTGTGCAAGAAGGGCCGTTATTCCCATATTAAATCAAAAACATATTTTTCAGTTGATCCGGAGATCAAACCTATAATCCGAATCAATAATGACCAATTAGAAAGCATTTTCTTAAAACTGCGTCGAAAATTGGCCAATCGGAAAGGAGGTTTTAAACCCTGCCCGAATCTTTATTGAAAATAACAGTGTATTACTCACCTGAGAGAAGCACTTTTATAAAAAAAAGAATATTTTGGAAAATGTATCCACGTGTAGATTGTGGATTAATTTACCGTCTAATGTTTATGTTCATCCTCTGTGTGTGCGCGATATTTTTGCAGAGCATTAGCAATCGTATTTTTATTAAAACTATTTCTGTATGCATACTCGTATAATGTATAAACGTTCCTTGGTGAAAAGACAATGCAGGCAAATATTTTATTATACTTGAAACTGAGCCTTTTATCAGCTCAACAGTCCAGTCGCAGAACTGTCCAGTGCTACAACATCAAATTGAAGTCGCGAGGCTAACATCGCGGAATATCCTCAAAATAAACGTCAGATTGGTCGATTTACACTCCATTTCGACTCTTTTAATTGAATTGAAAAATGGCGCCTTATTTAGAAAATTTGGTTACAAAAAAAGAGTTGCTTCAAGTGCCGCTACAATCACTAAGATCTTATTTTGAATGTGATACTGAGTTGTGTTTGAGTTTGCGGTGAATGTTATTTAATGCAGTGGTTTTTAATAAAGTAAGTAGGTACTAAGTTTGATACAGTTTCATCCGTATTGTTTCCGTGCCAGATTATTATAAGTAATCTGTAAGTAGGTCCACTATTTTCTGCAGGGTTTACATCGATGTTTTACTATAATTCTGCGATGGATTCATCCTCATACAACTCTGACCGAGACGTGGAAGTTGTCGAACAGCATCGTAGGCGTCGTGCTAGGGGGCCCAGAATCATTATATGAATCTGAATTCGAATACACACCCCCATCTCTAGCCGACAAAGAAGCTCAAGAAATAAGGTTTTATAATTTACAGACCTTATATTATCAGATTATCACATACCTTTCTATTTGTTGTGTAATTTCTTATCTGAATTCTACCTTTTGTTCTAAAATTGAATAAAGCAAAGGCAACAGTATATATCCCTCTAAACCAGGTAAAGGTGTTTAAAATAATTGTAACCCAGAAATATTTCTATTTACCGTGTAGGGTGACATGCTGTATTGGGTACAGCAGCAAAAGCATATGATAATGGAAGATACATAGGAGTTTGTTGAAGTCTATACCTAACTAACAACCGGTATACCATTTTTTGAATTTCCTCAGGTTTTTATGTTTGTTTTGAATTTGGTTCTGTCATCTATAAGGTGGTTTTATTATAATTGTTTCCGATTAGCCAATTTTCAATGCAGATTTACGAAAACGATTCCTCGTTCTTGATCCGGATCAAAGGCTTTGATCTCCGGATTAAGTGGAAAAACATGTTTTTGTAGCGAAACCAGGTGATTTACAGAGTTAGTTTGGGGATAGAGACCCTTCTATCACAACTCATATATTTTTTCGCTGGATATTTTAGAAGAAATCCACTATATTCATTTAATCCATTACTAGAAAGACGTCTTCCTATTGGACTACTATGATCCGTATCAAGATTTATAAATCTTTGATAAAACACTTAAACGCTTAGAATCGAATGTTAGAGGAAATTGTCCGAGTTGGTGTTTTTCGGAAATCTGTGATAAAACTAGTATGTGATAATTATTACATGATCATGGCAACATTATTGAGTTGTAACACTTGCAGTACAAATGAAATGCTTCAGTTTGTTTTACGAAATGTTAGAGATATACTACTTGAATGTTAGAACGAAGAAACAATGTTTTTCATTCACGTATCATATCATGCCCCAAGCCTTGAGCACACCACACATTCTGACAGTTGTTGACACTTGTTAAACGAGATTGCGAATACATCCGTTTTCGGCAAAATAATATGTTCCTAGGTTTTTCACATCGTTAAAAGTTTCATCACAACGCTTTGACATGAAACTTATGAACAACGATGATGCTTATGCACTTTCCGTTTCGAGAAATCTCTGGGAGTGACTATTTTATCAGTGTTCCGGAATACAGCTCATTTTCAAGAATTTGGGGGAACAAAAAATCCTACCGAGTTGCGATTTTTTCAAAAAAGTCGCGCGGCATTTTTACACAGTAATTTTGGCGCGCATTAAAAAGTTGCTCAACCAAAAGCAATAGATTCCTAGCTATTCAACATACGTCTTAAATGTCAAAACATTTCGATGACAAACCATTATAGTTTCGTGTTACAAGCATTTTGTATCTTCAAAAATAACACGTTTTCGTGACGATTTCGAACCATTCCAGCCAGTTCATATACAGTGTTCTCGCGAACATTATCCAATTAATATAGTAAGTTTAATCGAAGGAACAGGCTTTTGTGTGTTTCATGGTCACGACCTGGAAAATACCATCCAGCACGCTTTGCACGATTCTCATCCAGGGCGACTGCTACGCAGTCTAACCTAGATATCGCCATGTTGCACATTAGAGTATAGCTATATGCCGTGACGTAGGCTTAGTTACTAAATAGAAGACCCTATTATGATGCATTTTGCATGCCTATGCCTTTTCCCACTAATGATCTCAGCTTTCAACTCTTATTGTCGTACCTTCAGACGTTCCTACAATTGTAGGTTAAGGCCTCCTTGATTTTCATAGCTTTCTAGTGTTCCGTGTCAGAGTTCTCTTTTTTGAGGTTATATTACAAAAACATATCCTCACAATAGAAGAGCGCTACGCTGTTACGGAACAGTACAAATCCAAAATAGCCCAGCCTGACTGAAGGAGAGAAAAGACTATGACAATCAAAGAGGCCATAAAGGTGTCCAGCAATTTTAGGACGATATGGCCCTTCAATGTGCTAGAACATCTCTAGTCTGGCTAAGCCTCTTGCCGCCTTCAAGTGTTCGGGAGCGCAGTGCACCAAGGAGTACTTTCTTGGTGAACCCAAACCATACGTTTGCGTTGTTTCTATAGAGAGTTTACACTTTCTTAAGCCATTGATCTTCATTGTGGTTTCCGACATACGCTGAAAGTCTGTGAAAGTCCACGACCCTGGGTGTTCCATGATGAACCTTGCAGATGTGGTAGGTGAAATCATCTATTCTCTTCTTTATGGTGTATGGTCTGACTTTTGGTATCCGCCTCCTTCGGCCTTTAGTAGGTAAGTTTCCCCATATACAATTTTTTAGGAGTTACAGCTCGTAATATAGTTTGTAGTCTAATCATATTAGCCAATTTCCCCGAAATGATTGTAAAGTCTGGTTTTATTGATGCAAGTTGTTCAAGGGGGTACTTAAAACATGGACGCATAAAATGGATACTCAATTTTTTTGGGAAAACTTTTTATTCGACAACAAAGAATGGGAAAACGCGTTTTTTTATCCAATTGAAAGTGTTGGTAAGAACGAAAAAACTCTACAAATAAGATTTTTAGATATTTATGAGACTTCAGAATGAGACCATACGTAAAAAGATCCCAGGAGAACTAAAAAAGTTATGGCCGAAAATTGAAGTAAAATGCAGGTCTTGGCACTTTGCGACAATAATTCCACGCAGCTCCTTTAAATTCCTCAAATCTGAAGGCTTCTTACTTCTAAATAACCACAACAAAACTATTGCCTATTGGTCAAGTAGTTTTTGAGAATTTCTAACTGGTTATTCCAAACCACCTGTCTTCCGGCCATCACTACTAGTTTATTGAGCAATATACAAGGT